GTTCAGGCAGCTCTCCAAATGGGATCGTCTCTGCTTTGAACCAAAAAACAGCTGCAAAAAAACAGAAAGCACTGGCCGCAAAAACCATACGCTTGAAACAGCATGCTCTGCGAAGAATCGTCCAAAAAACCTGACAAACATATTCTAACAAGCGGCCTGGTAGACCCGAAACACAACCACAAACCTGCGTGCCCGAAAGCATCCGAAACAACGCTCACCAACATCCCAGCTACATATACACTGCAAAGACGCATTCTGCCACACAAACCAATTTCCATTTTGAGCTGCGAGGCACATGCCAATCGCCACGGTAAGCTCCCGAAATGCGGTCGTTTACCCGATGTCACTACGCGGCCAGCTTCCGAAACGCGGTCGTTTACCGATGCGCCTGTCACGGCACCACCGAGCACCGATACAACTCCGTATCCTCTTCAGCGCTCGGTACCACCCGGCCCATCTGCAGGACACCGGTGAATCGCGCCCACGTCGTCGGATTCAAAATCTTCTGCAGGCCCTCTCGCTGCAACCAATCCCAACCCTGGCTCGTAAATTCCACCTTCACCACGCAGGGATCTGGCCTCACGCCATACACGCAAACCAACCGCCAAACCCAGCGAAAGAACATATCCAACTGAAATAGCATCGTTCTAACAACAAGTGACAATGGTGCATTGACTTGCTCCCACCAACGGTACCGCTCCAGCGCCAAGGCTTCCGTCGACCGTAAGCTCAGGTGCTCCCGCGCGCCCGGCTGCCAGCACGCGGCCAGTGCGCTTTGCTCACGAGCCTCTCGCGCGACTTCATCTCAAGTTTGTTGTACAGGTCTGAAAAGCATGACGAAACAGCGTCTAGTAGCAAGAAGATAAAGCTGGAAATGACTATGTAACCGAGTCTGTTTCTTTGCAAGCATTAAGAACTCCAACAAAAGAGTCCGACCACTCCGCGGCCGACCTGCGGTAACAACGCAACGTAGTACGTGCGGGAGGGTGACAAAATCGCCTGAGTCTGCATGGCCGCCATGTCAGCGGCTGATTACAGTCTCCAAATGGGATCCTGTGTTGCTTGAACCACAAAAACAGCTTCAAGCTAATCAAGCTAACCAAAAAATACTAACACTGGCTGCAAACCCACGCATACTGCACAGAGAATGAATCCAAACAGCATTTCTATTCGTGATACGGCGATCGCCTGATAGATCCGGTACACGATCCGAAAACCTGGCTGGCTCAATGCTCTCACACCCGGCCAACCGTGTGATTTAGATTTGACTAACATGATTCTACAAGTCGGGCACTTTTCACGACAGATGCATGGCTTGAAGCACATTTTCTACACACGTCACTGAGCTTCCGACACATAGCGACAAGTACCCAGGATGAAACATCATACCTCCGCTCTGATACAGAGCTTTCCAAATGGGATCGTCTCTGCTCACAAGATCGCCGCGCGCACTCTAATACCACTGACGTTCTCAACGTCCCGGGTCGCTCTGCATCGCTCTAATGGTCTGGTGGAAGTGCTACGCCACAGCTGCACTAACATCGCAACATGACAAACACTATGTGCAGTGTAGCGCACACTCGAAACAGATCTTTCAACATCTTTCTATAGTCTTTTCTGGCATCTACACCCAAACTGTCAGCAATAAGAAAAACGCCAGTCTGAGCCAGCCGCGATCTGCCCATGCACTGGTTCATAGCGTTGCAGACACAGACACGATGTAAACTTGAGTACAGTCTTGCGCCGTCCGGGCGATGCTGCTGAAACTCCGCAAACCAGTCTAAACTGCAAAACTTCTGACGCACTTCTGCGAAAATCTGGCATTCACGTTTTGTCACGACACGGCCTCGTCAGGAGGTGATATCAGCTTCCGACTGTGATTTACAATGGAACAGCGTCGCCGGCGCCCACACCCGACCAGAGCCGACCACAGCCGACCAAGCAGCCACCAGACCCTCTAGAGCCAGATCTACTGCCATTTACAATGGAACAGCGTCGCCGAGAGCCGACCAAGCAACCACCAGACCCTCTAACGGAGTCAGACCTACTGCGATTTACATTGGTACAGCGTCGCCGGCGCCCACACCCGACCAGAGCCGACCAGAGTCGACCAGAGCCGACCAGAGCCGACCAAGCAACCACCAGACCCTCTAACGGAGCAAGATCTACTGCGATTTACAATGCAACAGCGTCGCCGGCGCCCACCCGACCAGAGCCGACCAAGCAACCACCAGACCCTCTAATGGAGCCAGATCTACTGAGATTTACAATGGAACAGCGTCGCCGGCGCCCAC